GGGAAAGCTCAGAGGCAAGGGTTTGGAGAGGTAAATGTTGGGCCCTGAAGGCAGGACCGAGGTTGCTTTGCTTTCCCAGGGCTGATTCAGGCTGCAAAGCTCCAAGACTGGCTTTTTCCAGCAGTGGTGAGAGCTTTGCTAGCAAGTATCAAGTTTTAAGCAGTTTGGGGACTAAAAAACACACTTGCTTTCCTGGGCACTTTCTCTCTCAGCAGCCTTTCCCTCTCAACTCCCCCTGGCTCTGGGACACTTAGAGGGCCCTGTGTTGGCTGCTGTGGCCTGGGGGGTTGAGGGAAGAGGCTGGGGGGGCTCAGGAGGCTCTGGCACTTCACGCTGTCCAGGCAGCATCAGCAGTCCCTGGGAGAGTATTGAGAATCAGAAGGTGAGACCCCATCCCAGGCTACTGAGTTGGAACCTGCTCTTTAACAATCTCCAGAGCATAGTAGAGTCTGAGAAGGCTGTGACCACAGGGAGGGTGGTCCCAGAGAGAGAGGCGCCTGGGCTGGGAGTCGGGGAGCTCGGGTTCCCCAGGTGTTGCTAGAGTGAGCTGGCAAAACCCAGAAAGGCACTCCCAGTGCTCAGGGAAGCAGATTGTGGAGCCTCTCTTAGGATAAATTTAAAATGTCTTCCCATCACTTTCTAACTGCCTTTGCTCTCACTTGCGTCCGTGATGGCGCCATCCTAACTAGTTCCAGTTCTCTACTTACCTTCTTCCCTCTTGTCCTTCGGTTGAGTCTTTCTCCTCTGACGCTGTCCTTCTCTGCACCTGGTTTTCTCATCTCCTCTCTTGGGTTTGAAGGTAGGCTTCCTCCTAGCCCCAGGACTGCGTCATTCTCAGGAAGCTCTCTCGGATAATCTGGGCGAGCAGATTAATTCCAGCTTGATTCATCCCAGCTTCTCTTGCTTGAACAGGGCTGCTTTTCCCCAAATCAGAGCTTTGACTTTGACACAGATGTTACAAATAATTGCTTCCAGATCTCCAGTGAATCTGCTCATCTCGTCTAAATTTACCCAAAAAGGGGACTTCCCTGGTGACACAGTGGTTAAGAATCTGCCTGCCAATGCAGGGGACACGGGTTTGAGCCCTGGTCCAGGAACATCCACATGCCACATAATAACTAAGCCCGTGCGCCACAACTACTGAGCCTGTGCTCTAGAGCCCGTGAGCCACAACTACTGAAGCCCGCACGCCTAGAGCCCGTGCTCCGCAACAGAAATCATCGCAGTGAGAAGCCCACGCGCCGCAATCAAGAGTAGCTTCAGCTCGCGGCAACTAGAGGAAGCCGGCGCACAGTGAGGAAGACCCAACGCAGCCAAAAATAGAAAAATAAATAAATAAATATATTAAAAAACCCCCACTAATCTGAAAAAAAATAAAGCTAGATGAACTGGGAGATTGGGATTGACATATATACACTAATATGTATAAAATGGATAACTAATAAGAACCTGCTGTATAAAATAAATAAATAAAATTCAAAAATTCGAAAAAAAAAGAATATAGCACTCAAAGCAGTATTGTATAAAGATATAATCAATGTGATGCCAAGTATTTGATACCAAGTATTCATCAAAGATACCATATACTTTTGGTCTTTATTTTTGTACAATAATTACTTTTTAAAAGACAACTTAAAAGTTGGATTACTAAGTTCAACTATGCTTCGTCAATATTTCTTCTTCTAGCACTACAAGGCAATACTGGATCTACTCTAATAAATGATTTTTCATTGGAATAAATAAAAATAAAAAGTTTACCCAAAAAATTATTTTCAGAATTTCAGAATTAGATGTAAGGATTATGAAGTGAAACATTTTCAACGTGTAG